GACCTCAACATAATAAAGGTCATATAAACAACCCTCAGCTAACATCATACTCAGTGATGAAAGACAGTTTTCCAAGATGAGGAATAAAACAATGATGCCTGCTTTCATAATGCTGGAAATCCTCGCCAGAGCTATTAAGAAAGAAAGGAAAAAGAAAAGGCATCCAAATTGGAACACAGGCAGTAAAATTATCTGTTAACAGATGTGATCTTCTTTGTCGAAAATCCTGAAGACTGCATGAAAAAAAAATGTTAGAACTAATATTTGTCAAAGTTTCAGGATTACGAAATCAACATACAAAAGTCAGTTGCAATTTCTACACACTAACAGTCAACAATCCAAGAGGGAAATTAAGAAAACAATTCCTGCTGGGCATGGTGGTGCATGCCTACAGTCTCAGCTACTTGGGAGGCTGAGGCAGGCAGGAGGATCGCTTGAGCCTCAGAGGTCGACACTATCAGTTTTGATGATTATGCCTGTGAATAGCCACTGTACTCCAGCCTGGACAACATAGTGAGACACCATCTTTTTTAAGTCCATTTATAATAGCATCAAATAAAATAAAATAGGAATAAACTTAACCAGGAGGCAGACTTTGGCAGGATGTAGAGTCCCAGAGACTGGTTGTGCAACAAATGTAAAGGCATCTCATATTTAAGGATTATAAGACTTAGTATCGTTAAGATGTCAATACTACTCAAAGTGATCTACAGGTTTAATGTAATTGCTATCGCAATCCCAGTGGCATTTTTTCTTCAATTATAGAAAAATCCATCCTAAAGTTTATATACAATTTCAAGGGACCCCAAATGTCCAAAACAATCTTGAAAACAAAGAACAAAGTTGGACATCTTATACTTCCCAATTTCAAAATTTGTTAAAAGCTACAGTGGTCAAAAGTGTGGTACTGGCATAAAGACACACATATAGACCAGTGGAATGAAATACAGAGTCTAGAAAGAAACTCTTTTTTTTTTTTTTTTTTTTTTTTGAGACGGAGTCTGGCTCTGTCACCCAGGCTGGAGTGCAGTGGCCAGATCTCTGCTCACCGCAAGCTCCGCCTCCCGGGTTTACGCCATTCTCCTGCCTCAGCCTCCCAAGTAGCTGGGACTACAGGCGGCCGCCACCTTGCCCGGCTAGTTTTTTTGTACTTTTTAGTAGAGACGGGGTTTCACCGTGTTAGCCAGGATGGCCTCGATCTCCTGACCTCGTGATCCGCCCGTCTCGGCCTCCCAAAGTGCTGGGATTACAGGCTTGAGCCACCGCGCCCGGCCGAAAGAAACTCTTACACATATGGTCAAGTGATTTCAGTAAGGATGCCAAGACTATCGAATTGGGGAAAGGATAGTCTTTCCACAAATGGTGTTGGGAAAACTAGATATCCACATGCAAAAGAACAAAGTTAAACCATTACCTTATACCATGTTGAAAAAAAAAAGAAAAGCTCAATAATGGATTAAAGACCTAACTGTAAGAGCTGAAACTATACAACTTTTTTATTTTTTTGAGGCGGAGCCTTGCTTACTTGCCCAGGCTGCAGTGCAGTGGCTTGATCTCGGCTCACTGCAAGCTCCGCCTCCCAGTTCATGCCATTCTCCTGTCTCAGCCTGCTAAGTAGCTGGGACTACAGGTGCCCGCAACCACGCCTGCCTAATTTTTTTTGTATTTTTTTAGTAGAGACGGGGTTTCACCGTGTTAGTCAGGATGGTCTTGATCTCCTGACCTCATGATCCACCTGCCTTGGCCTCCCAAAGTGCTGGGATTACAGGTGTGACCCACTGTGCCTGGCCACTATATAACTCTTAACACACAGTAGGAGGGCTTCCTTTTTGGCAATGACTTCTTTGATATGACACATATGACACCAAAGGCACATGAACAAAAGGAAAAATAGACAAACTGGATTGCATCAAAGGATACTATTAACAGAGTGAGAAGGCATCCTACAGAATGGCAGTAAAGATGTGCAAATTATATCTGATAAGGAGTTCCCATCTAGAATACATAAAGCACTCTCACAGTGTAACAACAGAAACCCAACCCAGTTCAAAAATGTACAAAGGACTTGAATAGACATTTCTCCAAATAAGATATGCAAATGGCCAATAAGCACGTAAAAAGATGCTCAACATCACTAATTATTAGGGGAACTCAAATCAAAACCACATGGAGAGGCCGGGCACAGTAGCTCATGCCTGTAATCCCAGCGCTTTTGGAGGCCAAGGTGGGCAGATCACTTGAGGTCAGGAGTTCGAGACCAGCCTGCCAACATGGTGACACCATGTCTCTACCAAAAATACAAAAATTAGCCAGGAGTGGTGGTGTACGCCTGTAGTCCCAGATGCTCAAGAGGCTGGGGCAGGAGAATTGCTTGAACCCAGGAGGCAGGGATTACAGTGAGCTGAGATCCCGCCACTGTACTCCAGCCTTGGTGACAGAGCAAGACTCTGTCTCAAAAAATAAAAAATAAAAATAAAATAAAAATAAAAAAGCCTCTATGGAGTTGCCACCTCAGACCCATAAGGATGGCTGTAAACAATACAGAAAATAACACGTGTTAGGATGTTGAGCGCTTTGAACCCTTGTGTACTTTTACTGGGAGAATAAATAGAAAAAACAGTATGGCAATTCACCAAAAAGTTAAAAATCGGCCAGGTGCAGTGGCTCACACCTGTAATGCCAGCACTTTGGGAGGTTGAGGCAGGTGAATCACTTGAGGCCAGGAGTTTGACACCAGCCTGGCCAACATGGTGAAACCCCATCTCTACAACAATACAAAAATTAGCCAAGTGTGATAGTGCGGGCCTGTAATACCAGCTAGTCGGGAGGTTGAGGCATGACAATCACTTGAACCCGGGAGGCGGAGGTTGCAATGAGCCAAGATTGCACCACTGCGTTCCAGCCTGGGTGACAGAGTGAGACTCTGTCTGAAAACAAAGAATTACTGTACAATCCAGTAATTCTACTTCTGGGTGTGTATCCCCTAAAATTCAAAGGGTCTCACACATTTACACACCGATGTTCATAGCAGCATTATTCACCACGGCCAAGAGACAGCAGCAACCCAAGTGTCCACTGACAGATAAACAAATGTGGTCTCTCCATACAATCAATTATGATTCAGCCTGAAAAAGGAAGGAAATTCTGACATGCTACCACATGGATGAACCTTGAGGACATTATACAAAATGAAATAAGCCAGCCACAAAAACATATTTGAAGGACCTAGAGTAACCAGTTTCATAGAGACAAAGTACAGTGGTGGCTGCCAGGAGCTGCGAGAGAGCAGTAATGGGCTATTGAATGGGGATAAAGTTTCAGTTTGGCAGGATTTAGTGGGTTCCAGAGATTGGTTGCACAAAAATATAAATGTACTTACACTGAATTGTGTACTTTAAAATGGTTATGGTGAATTTTACATGTGTTTAACCACATTTAACACTTTTTACATTAGAAATGTATATTGAGCACCTCTGTGCTAGGCGTGGTGATGCGATGATAAACTTTATACATATGAACACCGTAGTTATAAAACCAAACACATAAGGAGATAAAATTCTAAGTGTAAAAACTAGCACAGACAGACAATAGCCACAGACACACAGGACTCAGATAGTAGGCTTATTAGACACAGATTATAGATTTCAGCAGGGAACTAGAAATTATTAAAATTACTAATTACTAAATGTGTAGTTTAGTAATTAATTTATCTAATCAGCTAATTGACTAATTACTGAAAATTATATATCGGAAAAAGAACCAGAATGTAGTAGAAAGAGATGGCATTAAAGGCCATGTAAACCCCATATTTTAAACGGTTCTCTTAGCAGATGAGGGATAGAAGGGTGCTTCCTGGCCAGGTGAGGTGGCTCACACCTGTAATCCCAGCACTTTGGGAGGCTGAGGCGGGCAGATCACCAGAGGTTGGGAGTTTGAGACCAGCCTGGCCAACATGGTGAAACCCCGTCTCAACTAAAAATATAAAAATTAGCCAGGTATAGTGGCACACGCCTGTAATCCCAGCTACTTGGGAGGCTGAGGCAGGAGAACCACTTGAACCCGGGAGGCAGAGATTGCAGTGAGCTAAGATAGCACCTCTGCACTCCAGTCTGGGCGACAGAGCAAGACTCCGTCTGAAAAAAAAAAAAAAAAAAAAAAAATAGCTGGGCACAGTAGCTCGCTCCTGTAATCCCAACACTTTGGGAGGCCAAGGCAGGTGGATCACTTGAGGTCAGAAGTTTGAGACCAGCCTGACCCAACCCCGTCTCTACTAAAAATATAAAAATTAGCCAGGTGTGGTGGCAGGTGCTACTCAGGAGGCTCAGGCAGGAGAATTGCTTGAACCCGGGAGGCAGACGTTGCAGTGAGCCACTGTACTCCAGCCTGGGTGACAGAGCGAGACTCCATCTCAAAAAAATTAAAGCCCATCTTTTAAACAATTCTCTTAGCAGATGAGGGATAGAAGGGCATTTCCTTAACCTGGTAGCTCTGAGTGTCAGTCTGTGCCCTTGCCCACCACATTTGACAGTGACACAGTAGAGCAGCACCTCTAGGGCCAGGAGCCCCGCGTCACGGCCTCCACTGCATGCTGTACTGAAGATCTCACCCACACAGTGAGCTCCCTTTAGCCCACACTGTGGGTTGGATGCATCCTGAGCTCTCAAAGCGTCGTGCGCTAAGCTTCCACCTTCCCCTTGGCTAGGAACTGTGTCTTGGTCTTCTCTGTGTCCGGGGTGCTGGCAGCAGAGCCTGACAGAGTTAGCCCTCCATAGATGCTTGTTCAATTTCCAAGGAACTCAGCAGGCTGGGCCTAGCACCACTGCCTGCAAAGGCCCTGCAGATATAGGGACTCATTGACCCATGCCCGCTGCTCTTACAAAAAGGGGAGAGGGAGATGGGTGGCAGTAGATGGGGAGTTGTCCTATGAATAATGAGGGCCAGGGGTCCCTCTCCTCTGGGGCCCATAGCCTGGTCTTACTTCTCTTCTCTCTCCTTTACAGTTTGAGATTTCATCCAAGCCAGCATTAGGCTGCCAAAGACTTCAAACCCCTTCACCTCTACTCCAATTCTAGTTCCTTGGCAAGGGCAAGATTCATGGCTGGGACAGAATAACCAGCATGGAATGCCGGGAAACTCAGAACAGCACGTGCTTCAAATGCAGGGAACAAGAGCTCCCTGCCACTGGGCTCAAAAACACTTCTGGGGGAAACTCTCCCACTGGTCTGGGTAATTCTCCCCCTTCCTCCACACCTCCACTGTAAACCAGGAGACAGTGTAGCCAGCGAGTATCAGCTCTGCAGAGAAAACTCCACCTGGCCCCTGTTCATGCCCAAGATATTTACTCACTTATTCAACAGCCATCTGGGAAGCCGCTTCAGAACACTGACTGTGTGGTGGGGGACACGAAGCCAGATCCTCAGCAGTTTGGTACTGGTTTTCCCTGCCTGATCCAGGGGTCTTCTGAGGCAGGAGCTTCCTTGAGGGGAACTGATGGCCCCAAGCCCGTTAATCAGAAGCGCAGGTAGGGAGCTTCTCTCTCTGGGGTAGACACACTGGGACGGAATGCTTTAGGAGGCTCTGGGGAGGGCCTCTGCTTTGGTAGGGGTACCTGTGAACTCAGGCCCCCAGGCTACAGCATTGGAAGTTTTTTACTTTCTTTGGGGATATAACTTTTTCCTTTGAGTTTTCAACTGAAAAATAAAGCTGGCAGAATCCAAGAACGTGTCTCTGGATTACTGGGGCTGATCATCCACTTAAGAGATGGGGAGGTGTGGGCGGCTACAGAATCTGCTCACCGATAGGGGGCACCCTCGAGCCCTCTCTGCACTGAGCCTGTGGTAGGAGGGTGTAGCGTCCAGATTCCAGAGTAAAGGGCAAGGCATCAGCCACGGGGACTGAGGCAAGCTGAAGGCCAGACTTGACCATCCCTGACCTCTGCCCCACACCCCCTTCCCTTTCCCCTCCCCCCACAATGAGTCCCTGCACAGCACAGCAGGTGCCAGATGAAGTTTAGAAGAAAGAACTCCGGGGTGAATCGGAAGGAGAAGGTTGGTCCTCCACATTCCCACAGGGAAAAGAGAAGGGAGAGCAGCTGTGATTTAAGTGTTTTGCTATGGTTACAGCCTAAAGACCCCAGAGCCCAGGCACTTCTCCAAGTGCCTTGAAAGATGTTTGATCTGGGGGCCAGGCATGGTGTCTCACGCCTGTAATCTCAGCACTTTGGGAGGCCGAGGCGGGTGGATCACACGGTTGGGAGTTCAAGACCAGCCTGGCCAAGATGGTGAAACGTCATCGCTACTAAAAATACAAAATAAATAAATAAATAAATTAGCTGGGCGTGGTGGCAGGCGCCTGTAATCCCAGCTACCTGGGAGGCTGAGGCTGAGAATTGCTTTAACCTGGAAGGCAGAGACTGCAGTGAGTCGAGATGGCGCCACTGCACTCCAGCCTGGCGACAGAGCGAGACTCCATCTCAAAAAAAAAAAAAAAAAGATGTTTGATCTTAGGCCTTATAATAGTCCAATGAGGAATGGATGATCCCTACTTAATGAGAGAAGAAACAAAGGCTCAGAGAGTTGAGAAGATTCCCCCAAGGTCATACAACCTACAAACGGCCAGGATGGCGCTGATGCGGGCTTGTCTGCTTCCCAAGGCTGCCCAAGCTCAATCAACCCCCACTTCTGCTTTTGCAATAAAAGAAAAGCAAATCACTGGTATGCAGGGGCCCCTGAGCAATTCAGAGTCAGATGCCAACTAGCGTGTGCAGCCACCTGACCTGTTGGTTTCTCAATATGCTTGATGGATCCATCATTTCTGGTCCAGAAAGGAAATGCAGAACCCTTCTTCCCTGCCTGCCTCCCACACTCTGTGGGTCAAGTATTTACCAAAAACACAGCAGCAGCCTGGACACCAGCAGACATACAAAGAGGGAAACAGTTCTCCCTTCTCAAGGCAGGTTGGACAACATCAATACTTTGCAGCTGGGGGGTGTGGGTGGAGTACTTGTGCATGGATTTGAAACAGATGGGAGAGGGAATGATTCCAGTAGAAAGACCAATAAATATTTATATCTACAATGTACACTGAACTCCAGCCTGGACAACATAGCAAGACTCTGTCTCTAAAAAAATTTCATCATTAGCCAGGCGTGGTGGCTCGTGCCTGTAGTCCCAGCTACCTAGGAGGCTGAGGCAGGAGGACCACTTGAGCCCAGGAGTTCGAAATTACAATAAACTATGATCATACCACTGCACTCCAGCCTGGGCACCCGAGCAAGGCCCTATCTCTAAAACAAAACAAGGGAAGACGTTTACATACAAATCAATGTAAGAAAATCCAAAATACAGTATTACCAAATAAACCCCACTGGGGCCTGAAAAAAAAGTGACCTAAAACTGGCCAGGCGCAGTGGCTCACACCTGTAATCCCAGCACTTTGGGAGGTTGAGGCGGGCAGATCACAAGGTCAGGAGATCAAGATCATCTTGGCTAACAGGGTGAAACTCCATCTCTACTAAAAAATAATAATAAAAAAAAAAATTAGCCAGGCATGGTAGTGGGCGCCTGTAGTCCCAGCTACTCGGGAGGCTGAGGCAGGAGAATGGCGTGAACCCGGAAGGCGGAGCTTGCACTGAGCTGAGATCCAGCCACTGCACTCCAGCCTGGGCAACAGAGCAAGACTCCGTCTCAAAAAAAAAAAAAAAAAAAAAAAAAGTGATCTAAACCAAGTGAGACTTGTACAGTGTGACAAGGAGAGTTCAAAATTAGAACATCTTTTAATTTCATTATATATATATATTTTTTGAGATGGAGTCTCGCTCTGTTGCTCCAGCTGGAGTGCAGTGGTACAATCCAGGCTCACTGCAAGCTCCGCCTCCTGGGTTCACTCCATTCTCCTGCCTCAGTCTCCAGAGTAGCTGGGACTACAGGCGCCTGCCACCACGCCTGGCTAATTTTTTGTATTTTTAGTAGAGACAGGGTTTCACCATGTTAGCCAGGATGGTCTTGATCTCCTCATCTTGTGATCTGCCCGCCTCGGCCTCCCAAAGTGCTAGGATTACAGGCATGTGCCACCACGCCCGGCCTAATTTCATTTATATTAATATGCTAAAAGAAAAATCAATCATCGTAGATGTTGAAAAGGCATTTGACAAAATTTACTACAAAACTTATTTTAAAAACTTATCAAATTAGAAAGAGGGATACTTCCTTAAATTACACACGATAAAGGAAATTACACCCAGACACACACCTATCAAGCCAAAGCCCAGCATCTTTGGAGGGGATGGAAGCAATAGAAGCTTCCATTAACCTTCAGAACAAAAGAATGCCCTCTGTTGCCACAATTATTTTGGAGGCCCTAGCTGATGAAACTAGGCAAGGAGGAAAGTAAGTCATTTAAGAAAAAACCAGGAGGTGAAATAATTATATTTACTCTTAAAAAGGAGGCAGATTTTGCTAAGGAGTTAGGTACAAAAGTAACACACTAACCAGCCTTCCTTTTTCTTAATTTTTAAAATACAGAGATGGGGCCGGGCACAGCTCACACCTGTAATCCCAGCGCTTTGGGAAGCCAAGGGAGGCGGATTGCTTGAGGCCAGGAGTTTGATACCAGCCTGGCCAACATGGCAAAACCCCATCTCTACTAATAATACAAAAATTAGCCGGGCGTGGTGGCACATACCTGTAATACCAGAGGCACGAGTATTGAATTGAAGGCTGAGGCACGAGAATTGCTTGAACCTGGGACATGGAGGTTGCAGTGAACCGGTAGTGCACTACTGCACTTCAGCCTGGGCGATAGAGAAAGACCCTGTCTCGAAAAAAAAAAAAACATAGAGACGGGGTCTTACTATGATGCCCAGGCTGGTCTCAAACCCTTGGGCTCGAGCAGTCCTTCTGCCTCAGTCTCCCAAAGTGCTAGGATTATAGGCGTGAGCCACCAAGCCTGGCCTCAAACAGTCTTCCTATGTACAAACAAGCAGTTAGAAAAGTTAACAGAAGAAAACATCCTATTTGCAACAGCACACTCCCAAAAAACAAAACTCTCAGAAATAAATGTGCAAAAATATACACACACAATCCATATGAAGAAATCTTTCAAATGCTGCCGAGGGATATGAAACACTTTGAATGCAAAAGAAAGCCACGCTGCATGTGTTATCCAGAAACGCTCAACATTAAAAAGATGTCGCATCAATATCAAGCGCGGGTGTGTGGAAATGGAGCCTTCACCCACGCTGGGGAGAACATGGCGGCATGGCCACTCCAAAAGACATTTTGGCAGTTTCTTAAAAGGTGAATATAAATCTACCTTATGGGGCTAGACACGGTGGCTCACGTCTGTAATCCCAGCACTTTGGTAGGCCAAGGCAGGTGGATCACCTGAGGTCAGGAGTTCGAGACGAGCCTGGCCAACATGGTGAAACCCTATCTCTACTAAAAGTACAAAAAAAATTAGCTGAGTGTGGTAGTGGGCGCCTGTAATCCCAGCTACTCAGAGGCTGAGGCAGGAGAATCGCTTGAACCCAGGAGGCAGAGGTTACAGTGAGCCAAGATCGTGCCACTGCCCTCCAGCCTGGGCAACAGAGCAAGACTCCATCTCAAACAAACAAAAATTAGCCAGGCATGGTGGTGCACACCTGTGATCCCAGCTACTCAAGAGGCTGAGGCAGGAGAATCTCCTGAACCCAGGAGGCAGAGGTTACAGTGAGCCAAGATCGTGCCACTGCACTCCAGCCTGGGCAACAGAATGAGACTGTCTCCTAGATAGATAGATACGTAGGTAGGTAGGTAGGTAGGTAGAGAGATAAAAATAAGTGGCTCTTTGTATACTTACAGAATGGTGCATCCATCACCACAATTCAATTGATTTTAGAACATTTTCATTTCCCCAGCAAGGAACCCTGTTATCCTTAGTCATCACCCCTCCCAATTCTTCCTTCCTCCCCAGCACTGGGTAAGCAGTAATCTGCTCCCTGTCTCTCTGGATTTTTCCATTCTGGACATTTCATATAAATGGAATCATACAATATGTGGGCCTTTGTGATTGGCTGCTTGGACTTGGCATAAAGTTTGAGGCTCAGCCATGTGTGGCTCATGTCTGGGCTTCATTCCTTTTGACTGCCTTATTGCCCAAGTGGTGTCATAAGCACCGCAGGTGCACTGTGAAAAGTTAGGGTGTCTGTTGTAATCCCTAGAACAATCGCTACAGAAAAAATATACAACTAAAAACATTCAGCAAAAAAGGTGTAGTCAAAAGTCAACAGAGATGAAAGGAAATGTGAAGAATCCCTCCATTAATCCAAAAGAAGGCAGGAAAGGAGGAACAAAAAACAAAGATGAGAGAAATAGGCCGGGCGCACTGGCTCCCTACCAAAAATATTTTTTAAAAATTAGCCAGGTGCAGTGCCGCACACCTGCAATCCCAGCTAGTCGGAGACTAAGGTGGGAGGATCACTTGAACCTGGGACCGGGGGAGGGGTGCAGAGGTTGCAGTGAGCCAAGATCATGCCAACGCACACTCCAGCCTGGGTGACAGAGCATGATTCTGTCCAAAAAAAAAAAAAAACCACAAATAGCATACATTAGAAATTCCATTGAATGAAAGTGAACTGCCGGGCATGGTGGCTCAAGCCTGTAATCCCAGCACTTTGGGAGGCTGAGACGGGCGGATCACGAGGTCAGGAGATCGAGACTATCCTGGCTAATACGGTGAA